CAGCAGAGCCATTACTGTGAACCTGATGCATGGCCTTAAAGCATACTGTATGAAATGTTGTAAACATGTCAGCTTTTATTTGTTAATGCAGTTCAGCTGCGATAATAAGTGTGCATCAAATACACAGACAGTGAAAATGTCCCAATTACAACAGAACTTTATACATTTTATTAATAAATAGTACTTTAATAATTGAACTTATATAGTGCTTGTCAAAAGTGTGACTGCAGTTACATTTTACTTTATTTTTTACAATATATTATTAGTACTTTGACTGCAGTGAAATAAATATGACTTTATTATTTTTATTTATCTGTTTTTATGGCTGGCTTGACACTTCCTAAACACAGTTACATCACTATGGAACTCATCAGCAGGAGAGGACTCTTTAAAGTAGAGACACTACATACTGATATACACCTGAACATCAGCAGGAGAGGACTCTTTAAAGTAGAGACACTACATACTGATATACACCTGAACATCAGCAGGAGAGGACTCTTTAAAGTAGAGACACTACATACTGATATACACCTGAAAATCAGCAGGAGAGGACTCTTTAAAGTAGAGACACTACATACTGATATACACCTGAACATCAGCAGGAGAGGACTCTTTAAAGTAGAGACACTACATACTGATATACACCTGAAAATCAGCAGGAGAGGACTCTTTAAAGTAGAGACACTACATACTGATATACACCTGAACATCAGCAGGAGAGGACTCTTTAAAGTAGAGACACTACATACTGATATACACCTGAACATCAGCAGGAGAGGACTCTTTAAAGTAGAGACACTACATACTGATATACACCTGAACATCAGCAGGAGAGGACTCTTTAAAGTAGAGACACTACATACTGATATACACCTGCACATCAGCAGGAGAGGACTCTTTAAAGTAGAGACACTACATACTGATATACACCTGACCCTCAGCAGGAGAGGACTCTTTAAAGTAGAGACACTACATACTGATATACACCTGAACATCAGCAGGAGAGGACTCTTTAAAGTAGAGACACTACATACTGATATACACCTGAACATCAACAGGAGAGGACTCTTTAAAGTAGAGTCACTACATACTGATATACACCTGACCCTCAGCAGGAGAGGACTCTTTAAAGTAGAGACACTACATACTGATATACACCTGAACATCAGCAGGAGAGGACTCTTTAAAGTAGAGACACTACATACTTATATACACCTGAACATCAGCAGGAGAGGACTCTTTAAAGTAGAGACACTACATACTGATATACACCTGAACATCAGCAGGAGAGGACTCTTTAAAGTAGAGACACTACATACTGATATACACCTGAACATCAGCAGGAGAGGACTCTTTAAAGTAGAGACACTACATACTGATATACACCTGAACATCAGCAGGAGAGGACTCTTTAAAGTAGAGACACTACATACTGATATACACCTGAACATCAGCAGGAGAGGACTCTTTAAAGTAGAGACACTACATACTGATATACACCTGAACATCAGCAGGAGAGGACTCTTTAAAGTAGAGACACTACATACTGATAGACACCTGAACATCAGCAGGAGAGGACTCTTTAAAGTAGAGACACTACATACTGATATACACCTGAACATCAGCAGGAGAGGACTCTTTAAAGTAGAGACACTACATACTGATATACACCTGAACATCAGCAGGAGAGGACTCTTTAAAGTAGAGACACTACATACTGATATACACCTGAAAATCTGCAGGAGAGGACTCTTTAAAAAATGTGTTTCTGTAAAGGTTTTCTCTCTCCTCTCTGCAGCTCCAGATGAAGCTCCGATCGACACAAACCTGATCCAGTTCGACACAAAGTGAGCTTCCTGTCTGTCTCTCCGTCTGTCTCTCTGTCTGTTTTACAGCAGTACCATATGTACAATTGATTTAATGTGTCAGCACTAAAAGAGGAAAGCTAAAATTGTTATATTATCAAAGTGTTCTCTCAAGGTTCATATGGGGAGACTCAGTTTTGATGAGATGATGATCTTGGGTATGGCGAAGGATTTTTCCGAATTTTCAAGCAGGTCTCATTTAATCAAAGTGGTCCATTTAAAAGAATACAACTCACAGATTAACACAGAGCAACTCCAAGTCTCTTAAGTTAAACGTACAATTTTAACATAGAAACTTTACGTACGCATTTGACATCCAAATTGAAGATACAAACCTAAAGTAAGGTACAAATGTATCGTACAAGTTTAACGTGTACAAATGTATCGTACAACCTGAACGCACAAATGTGATGAGTCTCTGATCTTTGCTTGTTTTGTTATAAACTCACTCACTCCCCCCTTCCCTCCTTCCTCTCCTATAGCGACGATGACATCATCTTCGAAGACTTCGCCCGCCAGCGACTGACCGCCGAAGCGAATGACGACGAAGACGAGGAGCCTGTGGATTCGCCAAAACTGGACGACAGATAGAGCCGCTGTTGTTGTTGTTTGGCTGCTGTTTGTAGAGTCCAGAAAACCGTCCGGAAACCCTTTAAACGCGATCCCGTCCCGACGTCGTGTCTTCAGACGGAGCAGCTCGGCCGGCCGGGACTCGAACCGGCGGCCGCGGCGTCACGGCGGCCGGTAGCATGCCTCTAATGTCACTTTGTTGTACGTGTTTCCATTAGGGAGCCGCAGGAGTAACGTTGTGTTGAGATTAGTTTCGATGTGTTGTATCAGACGGTCCTCATAGACACTGCCAGTGTTTCCCCACCGAGGAACACCTGAAGAAGAAGCTTCCCAACGAAACGCAACCGAAACTGTCCGAGAGGGAAGTGTGGCCTCGTTTGCATGAAATCCATACTTATTATTATTATTTATTAATATCATGAATAATCAACCTTTATAGAGGAAAGCCCTGAAACAAACAGATCATTAACCTGCATCATTATGAACATCTTCCTCCTTTTCACTCAGCTGAGTCTTTCATCTACCAATATCTCTCACATTCACAAGAGAGAACATTTTTGATATTTCCCTGATATGCAACTACGATGGCCGACAGGTGCAGACGTGCTACAACGGCCCAAACATTTCCATCAGGAGAAACGAGCTGCAGCTTCAGAAAGGGTGCAGATATAAAAATCCAAATGTTCCACACAAAGTGTTTGAGCTTCTTCAGCATTTGGTTTCTGTAGCTTGTAGTAAACGCTGCCATGTCTCCTCAAGCTGCTGAATGTTGGGAATTTGGGTTTCTATTTCTGCATCGTTTCTGAAGCTGCAGCGTGTTTCCCCTGATGGAAGAGATTTGGGCACGTTTGCAACCGTCGGCCTCTGTAGCAACTTGAAAATGAAGAACCATTCATTTTGCTGGGATTTAAGTTATTAATTTACAACAAAAAAAGTGTGGAGAAAAATGGTGTCTCTTTAAATAATCAACCACAGGATAAAGATTAGGATTACAAAATAAAAACACCCAAAACATCCTCATTATTTCGCACATTATTTGAATGGGCTTTATTTTTTAAAGGGCCTGGAGAAAACCTATATATTCCTAAATAAAAAGGATGTTTTTTTGGCATTCTGACCTTTTTCTGAAGCATCAACAAATTATATTTCTGAAAAAATCTGAACATTTTACACTGTAGAGGAAATGTCCGTAAGCACGACTTCAAACACACCTTCTGCACCTTCAGATGTAAATGATCAAATTAAAATGAATGCTGTATTTATCTTTTTATAGTCTGATCCTTGTTTCTACAGCCCAGAGTTAATATGTAACATTTCTGCATTAAAATGTGTAAAAATAACCAACCACAAGTTTTACTTCCAGGTCTAATCTGGACTTTTCTTGAATCCCAAATGTTACATTTTGGATTCGATGTGATTTTTTTTCCACTGAAAACCAGTTTGGTTGTAGCTCCATGCTGGTTCTCTGGGTGCGTTCTAGTCAGGTCTTTACTGGAAACAACTTTATTCCCTTCACCATGAACTGGGATTGCTCGGGTTAATCTCCGACGTTAAGAACCATCCGTAAAAAGTCTTGATTTAGTTTTTGATATTTTAGGTCTAAAAATGTCTGGAATACCATAAAGCCTGAACACAACTGATTTTACAAACATTGATATAGATGTAATATATCTGCAGATTAGTTTTGAGGACCGAAGAATTGTAGTTTCAGTTTTGAGAAACTCGTGCCAACACACCATTTTAAACTTATATTTTTCCCGACAGAGTTGTTTGCCAGACATGATGTGTTAAAGGACCACAAAGGGTTAACAATAATCACAATTTCCATTTTTATCAATTCAACAAGAAATGCCGCTGCTAATTCAACGAGTCCCGACGTTTAATACCCAGAGGTAAAATGCAAGCACACAGCAAACATGAAAGTTCAGACCTACATTTTTTATTTGGCTGTTAAAGAGTCCTGCAGGGAGGTGGTGTTTCTGTGTTGGTCCCTGAAGGCAGCATCTCTCTAGTCCAATGGGATTCCTCCATGTGATTTTGGATTATTGCAGAAAATATACTCAACGTTTCTGATGATTACACGTTTAGTTCAGCAGGATAATCTCCACATATCAGCACCACTTGATTTCTGAACGTGTCGTACAGTAACATCTCTTCACCTTGTGTTAACCACCTTATTTCTAAAACCAAAAACACATTCAGAAAACCATTGACCTCATTCCCAAAGTTTACTCATCTTAATTTCTCCCAGTCAAACCAACACGGCGGTCCATCAGAAGTTTACTTTGATGTCAATACTATAAATAATAATAATTTAAATATATAGCTCCTTTCAGGGAACCCAAGGTCACTTTACAGGAAAACAGAAGTACAAATAACTCAAATAAACAGTGAGACAAACAGTCAGACAGACAACAACAAATAAACTAGGTGCCGAAAGTTTTTCCGTTCACGGCAGGATGCACCTTCATCGACTTTAAATATCTTCAGAAAACCATTGACCTCATTCCCTACATTTCTCCAGTCAAACACACGGCTGTCCATCAGAAGTTTACTTTGATGTCAAGTTTTACCTTTCCCAGCAGGAGACACCTTCACCTTCATCGACTTGAGTTTCTTCGCTCTGACTTTAAAGATCTTCAGGAATCCGTTCCTGATCTCCTTGGTGCGGACTCCATAGATAATGGGGTTGACGGTGGCCGGCAGCAGGATGTACATCAGACCCATGAAGGTGTGAGCGTCGGGGGGGATGTTGATGCTGGGCGACAGGAAGGAGACGCTGCCCACCAGGTAGAAGCAGGTCATAACCATCAGGTGCGTCCCGCAGGTGTGGAACGCCTTCCAGCGGTCCTCTCCGGACGCCGACGCCCGCAGGACAACGCTCAGGATCTTCACGTAGGAGAAGAAGATAACCGGGGTGTCGACGCCCACGAAACAGATGATAACGGCGAGTCCGGCCGCTCGATTTCTCTCCGTGTCGCCGCACGCTAAGCTAACCAGCGCCATGTGGTCGCAGTAACAGTGGCGGATTGTGTTGGAGTCGCAGAACCACAGAGATCCCGCCAAACCAACCAAAGTCCCCATGACTGAACAGCTGCGAAACAACGCGAACAGAAGCAGTTTGGCGAACACCGAGGCGTTCATGATCTTATTGTAGCGTAGCGGAAAGCAAATGGCCACGTAGCGATCCAGCGCCATGGCTAGAAGAAGCGTGGACTCCAGCGAGGACAGGAAGTGGGTGAAGAACATCTGTGTGAGGCAGCCAGTCAGAGAGATCCGGTCCCAGTTGAACAGAAGGCTGAGTAACGTAGTGGGGAAGATGGTCGTTCCCACCAGGATGTCCACGGCACACAGCGAGGCGATCAGAAGGTACATGGGGCTGTGGAGAGACGCCACGCTGCCGATCACCAGCAGCAAAGCACAGTTTCCAAGGAGCAAAGTTACGTAGCAGCCGATCAGGAGAACCAGAACCAGCAGCCGTTGGTGGTTCTGAAGCGCCGGGAAGCCTCCGAACAGGAAGCTGCTGTGGGACGAGTTCCCGCCCGGCGACGCCTCCAACATGGCGCCCAATCAACCTGAAACACACGTTCAAAAACACAATCAGAATCCCATTATATATATATCCTTTATTTAACCAGGTAAAAGTCTCATTGCGATTCAAATCTATTTTTCAAGAGCGACCTGGCCAAGAGGGCAGCATTTCCTTTCATTTGTATTTGTTCTGTTGGTATGCACAACTTAATGTTCAACAATTATTTACAAAACATGTCTCTATAAACACACCGTACCCGAAAGGAGCAGCCTGTCCTCCTACAAAAAACGACCATATAGGCCAGTTGTTCATGCCCTTATTACGACCCAGAGACACGTTTTAAAGTGTATGTTGTTTATTACACGACCACTAGAGGTGCTCTAGTGGTCGTGTAATAAACAACATGCTCCCGGCCCGTTCATTATAAATGCTCCGGAGGGACGTTTATTCACAAATAACCCTCTCTGGAAAATCCTAAATTGTGGAATAGTTTGGCCATTAAAATGCTTTTTTATTAGATTTCTGGCATGAAGTGTATATTGTACTTTTAGAATCCACGTCCAGTCGATGTGTAGGATCTGTAGTTTGATAGACATTACGAAGATGATTTGAGGTCTCGCCAGGAGAACGTGTATGCAGCTTCCATGTAAAGTTAGCGTCAACCCTCACGGGGTGAAAACAGTTTTTCCGGTCTCGAAGTTTTCATAATAAAACCGGATGTATTCCTCTCACTGTCAAATGATCACACATTGATATCTGCATTACTCATCCACTCATAAGATAAGATATACTTTATTGATCCCAAGTTGGGAAATGTTTTTGTTACAGCAGCATGTACTACTTTGTTCTACTCCACTACAATTGAGAGGTTAACCTGGTATTTTTACTCCACTACATTTATTTTAGTCACTTTGCAGATTCTGATTAATGATGTGAAATATAAACAACCCTTAAATCAGACTTTAGTTACACCTGAGTCAAATTCAGGGGTGTGATTGTACTTTGTCAGACTTCATTTGTATCTGTGGATACCCCCAACGTTTCTTTCTTATTCAAAAGAAGACCTTAACTTAAAGTATTCTTTAATGTTTAAATAAAGCCTTATTAGTTGGTCTGTTTTGCACCTCCTCCTGTTAATATAATTGGACGTCCGGCACTAAACTGTTTCATTCTAGAGTATTACTACAGTATCTTCTTGACATTTTATATTCTATATTTCTATCATTGACCTTCTACTTCCCCCCTATGAAAGCATGTACTCTTAATATGTTTGTCATCAAATATAACATAATTTCAACAAAATAATTCAATAACGTTTTTTAAGTCCCTTTCTATCAGCTGTGCACCGTTATGGTGTAAATATAAATCAATTGGATCAAATATAAAAGTCAGCCGAATTAGTGTTGATACTGCAAGGAGACGTATTGTGTGAAAATAAATGTAAGATGTTGTGTAATTGTATGACAGTGGGCATGTGGACAGGCCACATCTTGTAGACAGCCAGTCACCCTGTGTGAGGCAGACCCACATTTGCGCAGCGTTGCTTTCACAATACATACACAAAAACAAAATAATCAACAGGCCATCGGGAAACCCCCCGGTCCTCCCGATGGCCAGTCCAGCCTGGCTGTCACATATATGTAATCCATTGAGTTACTTTACAGATCTGAATTAATGATGTGAAATACAATCAACTCTAAATCACCCTCTGAACAACAGCAATAATATCAAAATCAGTTGCTACATTTGCAGTTTTCACATTTTATTATTATTATTATTATTAATAATGATTTTTTCTCAAAGACACTTTACAGAGTAAAAATTCATAAAAACATACTTAAATCAACACACATAAAAATATAAAACACAACATTAATAACAGATTAAAAGCATTTATTATTATTAATTAATTATTCACTTTTTATTTTACACTTTCACACATTTTGAGGAAACTCACCCTGGATAACATTAACAATAACATCAGTAGCTAAATCAAATACAAATAAAAGCATAAAGGGGTATCACATCAGTTATTCAAGAACATTTAAAAGCATTACATGTCATTTAAATCAGATATTAATAACATGTAAATGCATCAAGTTTCATTTAATACAAATCAGCCGATAAAATTACGTTTGAAGGAAAAAAACATTTAAATGCATTTTTTTTATTTGAACCCTAAGAACCCGGACACATTTCTACTTTTGGGGAAATTAAGGGAACATGATTTAAACTAAATAGACCAGCTATAACTTTCCAGAACATTTAAAGGTCATGTGACACCAATCCCAGTTTGCCATCCTGTCAGATAATGAACTGATCTATTCTCATTATCAAACGACCCTCCGTTCCCGACAGTCATTATTAAACATGAATGAATTAAAATGAAGCGCTCCTACCTGCCGCCGGCTGCTCGTCTGGAAGAACTCGCTGCCGTCCCGCTACGTTTTATAAACAAAGTCCAACCGTCCATCACATGCAGCTGCTCTCTGAACCAATTAAAACGTCCCAGAGCCAATTAGAGGAGATTCTCTAATTAACCAGCTCATTCATCATTAAAACTTTATACAAAAACAACTTTGATTCGTCTTTAATTTATCATATAAAGGATTAAAACAGCTGAGTGGGCAATAATACAATACATTGTATGGACAGATTTCACAGTTTAATAAAACGTTTTAGGACATTTCTGACATCACCATTTTTACAACCTTTTTGGTGATATTTAGTCATTTCTTCCTCAATTTAATAAAATTCAAATAATTTTTGAATTTTCTTCTTTCACAAATATGTATAAATATATTTCTAGGACATTTTAAAAACATTTTTTTTCACACAATGTTTGCATCCTCTTCTTTTTACTATTTTCTTTCAGAGACCAAACCATTAAGAAAGAAACAATTCACACAATTAAAGGAAATGTTTTGGGACATTTCTTCATCATATTCAGCGATAGAAAATCCCTGAATATGATGAAAGAAATGTCCTAAAAAAAAAGGATAAAAAAATGGTGTGAAATAAAATGTTTTAAAAATGTCCTAGAAATATATTTATACATATTTTTTTAGAAATTCTTCACTTATTTTTCGTCCGTTATTTAGATTTCTAAATGTTTGGGACATTTGTAACATATTTTTATGAGATTTTTCCAATTTATTTAGACATTTGAAACATACAGTTTTCCCATATATCTATACAAATAGGGAGGCTGTGGCGCAGTGGATAGTGCGTTGGTGTTGGGATCAGGGGGTCACAGGTTCAAACCCCACTGCAGTCAGCATGTCATTGTGTCCCTGAGACGCTTCACCCCAAAGGGCTCCTGTGGGGATTGTCCTCAGGACTGAGTATGTGAGTCGCTTTGGATAAAAGCGTCTAACAAGTAACAAGTGATGTAATTTAATATATCTTGGTTTTTATTTCAAATATTCATAGAACATTTTTCACATTTGAGGAATTTTGTCAGTTTTCCTGTTTTTTTTTCAAATTCTTCGCTTATTTTTTTGATGTTTTGACATTTTATTAAAGGACATTTTATTGACAATGTTCACATCTTTTGGAAATGTTTTAACTTACTTTTCAGACAACTTTCCCCAGAGAATATTTCCACATTTTAAGTAAAGTTTTTATAATGTTTCACAGGTTGTTCTCACATATTTTATTGACACTTTTCACATTTTATTAACTTATTTTGCGATTTTACACGTTGTTTTTTACACTTTTGGTGGATCCTTTTGAGAAATGTTCCAGATGTACTTGTTGTGTTGTTACTTTAACACTGACTCATTAAATGAGACGGTGAATATAATTATCTGGCCCTGCAGGACGTCGTCCTCAGAGAGGATTCTGGGAGTAATTATCGCCTCTCGCTAACGAGTCTCTGCCGCCGAGGCTTAACGAGATCTCCTGCAACGTTTCCACAGAGAAACACTTATTTATTTTTAATTAGTTGATTAATTAACTTTGATCAAGGGGTGCTTAAAGTTTGTTTATTTATTTCATCATTTCAACTCATTTGTGATATTTTCAAAAAAATGTATATTAATTAGGTCAAATATATTTTTTAATTATAACCGTTTTGTTTTGTTTCCCTGTTGCTGTTTGCTTGTATTGTTTATTGTACGCAACACATCGATTTCTTTCACGAGTTATGCCCCGCCCATCTGGAACAAACTCCCTGGATCCTGCAGGGCCGCTGCAACTCTTAATACTTTTAACTCCAGACTAAAAACGTATCTTTTTGATACTGCATTTAAGTGAGCTGTTCATATCGAACCTGCAGTATGGTTTTTATTCATGTATTCTATACCTGTTATGTTTACTTTATTACCTTAGCTTTTTTAATGCCAGTTTTTAATGTGTTTCTGCTGTGTTTATTCTTAAATGTCTTTTATTTCAATTTGTAAAGCACTTTGAATTCAGAAACGATGAGGATGGTGATGGGAAACCCTTAGAGCTACAGCTGTACCTGTCCTTCCTCAATAATGTGCTGGAAATCTTCCACGATGTTGTGCTGCTGTTGGAGAGAGAGGACGGGACCGTATGTGAGCTATATGACATGATACTCACTCTCAAGACAAAGCTCCAACAACGACAGATTGATTCCTTCTTTGGAATGGAGACCAGTGCTATCCTCCAACAGTTTCCAGACCAAAAGGCAAACATGATCTTTCCAAGTTCTACCAGGCTGCTCTCAACTACCTTGAGAAGTGGTATGACTTCACAGACAACAACTACCAGAAGAATGTTGCAAGCTTGGCACTGAAGAGCAAGTTCACATCCTCCCATCTCTGTGCTGCAGTGGAGGCCCTACAGATAAGGGGGAAACTAGACATGGATGAACTGTATGATGAATACTGTGTGACTTTGCCACGCCAGCAGGACGTTGTGGAGAGAAGAGTGGTCCACCTTGCTTCAAGGCACAAACACACCAAATCTGACTGCTGTGGCATCCTTTCTCTAAAGCATCCCCATCACTAATGCTTCAGTAGAGAGTGTTTTCCCTCATGACGGCAGCGTGGACTGACCAGAG